AGAGAAAAGACTGTCAGAACGTAAGAGCTGATTATCAGTACAAAGTATATGATAATTGGATTCAAGTGATAATGGTAATAGAAATTTATTTATAATAACAGTACAAACACTTTACATCAAATGGTTATGGAAAAATGCAATATCAAACAGAGACCTGGGGTTCTCTGCCCATCCCTGGACCGGTCCTCTCCGGTAGACCAGGTTCAGACAAGCTCGGGACTCCGGGCAGTGCCGAAGTGACAGAGCTGCGAGAGACCTCCGTCAAGGCTACCCACCCACCCTCAAGACTTTCCTTCCAAAGTGTAACCTAAGGAGATTAATGAAAAAAGATGAGATAACATGTGCAATATTTTTGGAAAAGATACCGCTTGATCAAACAACATGCATTTAATCGAGGATATGACGACAAAGATGGTGTGGCCTTTTGTGTGGTCACAGTCTCCTTTTGTTGTATAGAGGTTGTTTGACTTTGTTTTTACAACATGTTCATATTGATAAGAAGACTTAGTAGAACGCACCTAGTCCGGAGTCCATTATATGCATGATAATTTCCAAAGTCGGAGCATGGACATGGTACATTTGCAGACGTTACGCCGGCATCGTCAGTGAGTCTTGTCATTCTTAGCGCCACACTACAACTCGTCAGAGAGAAGTGAAGCCGACCCTTAGACCAAACAGTTGTGGTATCTCTCCTTTTGCCATGGGCTATTCACATTTTCTATATTCGTGTATCACGCCTTCATTGTTACAATTTTACCGTACTTATTTAAATGAAGTGTGGTGTGCCCTTTTGGGCGGTGTTCATAAAAAACCGCCACACTCCACACTAGCGTTCTCACCCACCATTCGACCTTGTGCTAGGAATGTTCATCAGTCTGCCATATTGTTACGCAGTCCTTCTTCCCTAGGTCTTATCAGAAATTCCCTCTTGTCCCGTAGAATCCGTCTGATAACGCCTTGGTTCAACTATTTCACTCGACCTCTGCCACCCCAGCTGTGCTATTCGAGGCGTTATTTCCCACACTGCATTTGAGTGAATAATCCAAAACTAAAGCCTCTGATTAAGTTTCATGGTCAAGCCTTAGCTACATGGACCAAGTCTCTAGTAAAATTTACGGTCAGCCAACCAGCTCCAGTCTCCGCCGCATTTATCCTGATTATATCCGTAATACCAAGTCTATGACTTCCTATGCCCTAGTTTTTAGTGTGCCAACCAACAAATGTTGTAGTACTACTTGCTTTGATTAGGTTTAATGTTGAACCATAACGTTTGTGAGTTGAAACACAAGGGATTAGGACATCGCAGGTCATAGACTTGGTATTAGGGATATAAATATGATAGACACGGCGGAGACTAGAGCTAGTCGGCTGAAAGTAGGCCAGTTTTACCATACATGTAGTTCATGTTGCAAAGGCTTGACTATGAGACTTACTCAGAAGCTTTATCCTTGAATTAGTCACTCAGAGTGTGGGAAATAACGCCTTGATTAGTACAGATAGTATGGCAAAGGTCAAGTAAAATACTTGAACCAGGGCGTTAGCAGACGGATTCTATAGGACAAGAGGGAGACTGACGAGACCTACGGAAGGAGGACTGTGTAACAATATGGCAAACTAGGATCAACATTCCCAGCACAAGGGTGAATGGGGGGTGATAACGCCTGTGTGCAATCTTGAGACTTCTCATGAACGCCGCTCA